CACACACAAATCAAAGACTTCTCGGAAGATAGAGTAGGTGGGAGGAGGAGGAAAAAAAAAATCTCTAAATTATGTTAATCTGTGAACATTGGGACACTTTGGATTTTGACCCTGGCAAAAGTGATCACTCCAGCATAACATCATCTGCTGCTGTCAGTTTTGCTACCTTGTGCATGTGTCTAACTAAACACATTTTGAAGATCAAAAATATATTAGAACAAAACTAAACAAAACAAATGATAATAATAATAAATAATAAATCCTTGGGGCTGGTCTCCATTAAAGATGACATTTCTTTGTTGCCAACAGTATTATTTCACTGCCATGAATCTCTTCCATCACCGAGGAGCTGCTGCTGCAGAACTGGTTTGAATTTAAATGTGGAATTTCAGATCTGAGGCAAGGCAGTTTTTTCTTTTCTTTCTTAAAAAAAAAAAAGCAGCAATAACAAAAAATGTGTCTCAAATGGCTATGTCCTTTGAAAGGAAAAAAAGAGAAAGAGACTAGAATTTATCAGCCATTAGTGATAATTTGAAAGATGGGAACAATAAGAAATGCACCTGTTTTGCCAGAATCACCTGAACTCAGTGAGATGCATTGTGCCATAGAAACAGGTCGATTTTCTAATTTTTTTTCCAAATATCTGGATCTTTGAATTGAAATCTTGCTGTTTTACAGGATGTAGAAAGAATGACTTACACAACCAAGATGGACCTATGATTTTAAGGCATAATACTGATGCAGCATTAATTTTAGTGAAATGCAATTAAGTGCAGTAAAGTGCAATACTGTAAATATTATAGAGTAAAAAAAATAGCCGTACTTATTCTGTTAATAACCAATTCTGCAAGAACCATAACTTAAGTCCTTTATGCTCAGACTGGTGCATTGCAGCTCCTTGCCAAAATGACAGTCTGAGTTTTCTATGAATGGATAAAGTTATATGTATCACATATGGGAAAAGGTAGATGCCATGATTTCTAGTCAAGTTAATGTGCCATATTTCTGGGAAGTAAGACTAAAAAGTCTGTATGACATTTTTTTGCAATCATTTTAAGTAAAGGAAAAAAAGCAAAAAAAAACAACCCATGGAAGTGTTTTGTAGAGGTGGACAAGTTCAATATTTGACCATTTTAATTTTTGCATGCTATTTAGACAAGTCTTAAGCTAATGCTTAAGCAAAATAACTAGTATAAATCTGAAAAGGATAGGGAATAGGAAATCCTTTAAATTATATTACCAAAGTGTCCGGGTTTACTTACCCTTACCCCCCATTTCTAACTTTTATGTTATTTCATTTCTAATCAGTTTATTATATCATTAATTTTTGGATGGGGAGGGGAGAGGAAAGGTACAAATACTGGTCTTGTCTACTTCTAACAAGATAGCTGTTTCTTGCCTTTGTTATCAAGGCCTGCATTGATGGAAGGTTATCCTCTCAAAAATACCATTATTAAGCCTGCTTTTTTATGTCTTGTTTAGCAAACCATTACTAGTTTTGGCTTTTGCTGATATTTATCAAATCCAGATATTACTGTAGGACAAAAATTCATGGTGTAGATAAATTTTAGACACTTTTTTCTTCTTCAAATTTTGATATTTTCTAGCAAGCAAAATTTCTGAAATGTCAAAGATAGGCCATTTCCTTTCTATTTATTGTGTGAGAAGTAGTTATATTTTGCATTTACTAGAGCTGATAAGTGTAACCTGCCTTTTCTACCTCTGTGAAAGTCCAGTACCTTTTTAAAACGAGGCCAAAATATTAAGATAATATTACTTGTTTCTGAGAAATATGGAGAAAAATCCCAAGCAAATAACAATTTCTTATTGAAACAAAACATTACCTAGAAGGCATAAATGTTATTCATGATGATGTATGAATTTCTAACTAAAATAAGAAATATTTAGTGTGGTTCCAGCACTTTTAATATGCAAATAATAAGTATTACTATAAATATGCTTTACGCTATAACAAGCAATTGGTTTTACTGGATACCTGCAGCTATTGAAGGAGAATTTGATACACAGTGCTGAACACTGAAGGCAGACAGCTTTCAGCTGCGTGGACTACTTGATATCTGTGCCTATAATCTGCTTATAATCCTTTTATGTCCTCTTTTGAGAGTTTAAGAGAGGCTCACATGATTTTTCAGTCTTGTGCTGGACTTCCACAAAGGAGTGAATTTCACCTTCAAATACTGAGACTGAGCTCAATTGAGGGTTGAAATCTAGGTTTGGGGTCTGAATTTTCTCAGCTCTCTTCTGAGTGAGGCTGTCAAGTGTTACAGAATTTACTGCCTTATAGGATGCAAATACAATATGCATCTGTCTAACATTGGCAGCAACGACTCAAGAATAACTAACCTTTGCTGTTGTACTAGATACCAACACAGCAAAAATTCTCATAGATTTCTCTCAGAAATATTACTACTCGTAGCTTCTTTCTTTTATTCAAAAAAACCCTGCAACATGAAAACATTTCCCCGCTAGCAAAAAATAAGGCTGTATTGTTTGCTGAAAGTACCAAACTTTCTTTCAGAGTGAAAGACACTTCTAATTGCTTCTGACTGCTAAAACCTTTCAATGGATGTCTCAGACAGCCTTGCTCTCTGCTACAGAATGGAAGCAGCTGATGGGAGGTACCGATTAGCCTATTTGGAAGGAGTTTTCATAGATCAGCGTGGGGAAACGGACAGGATGTTTCCGTGAATCTACTAAGGTGCTTTGTGCTGTTCTTGCATTTCATTTAGCACAAAATGAAATGCAAACCTACTGGAGCAAGAGCTGTAGCCAAAACTGGTTCTGCTTTGCTTATTTCCATAACGGACCAATTGCTTCAGTGGTGGTATAAAATTTGCCTAGGTTCTGTTTTGGATGATGCATACAGGTGGCCTCCTCTTCTTGTCATCTTTATGTTATTGGGAAGAAAGGAGGACTCCTGCCTGGACTACCATGTATTGGACTGAACTTTTCACTAAGGATAAATCACTGTGGCTCTTTTTTCCACTGTGGGGTTCTGGTGATCCATACAAGCTGAGAATCTGAACCAAGGTGTCTACTCCATCTCTTTTAATGTGTGCTCTTTTTTGTGTTTCTATAATTATTTTTTCTTCAGGAGATTGGAGGTGGAAGATAAGGTAGTCAAGGTTCTGAGGTGCTTATTAAAGTTTAAAAGTATTGTAACAGCTGGAATCTCAGGCACGTCAGCCCTCATTTATTGTCCATCATCCAGCCTGATCTTTCTATAATCTTTCATTTGAGAAGTGTAAGACTTCCAAGATCATCAGAACAGCAGGCATTGGGCAGAATTCCCTTGGAGCAGGCCTTCTTTTAGCGTATGTGGATCACTAAAGAATCTTCCTCAAAAGTTTGATCTGGTATTTTGAAAAACAACTTGAATGCCAAATGATTAATGTTGTTTATGAACAAGTCTATATATATATATAAAAAAAAAGCTTCTTGCATTACATAGGCCCTTTTATAACGAAAAAATAGTCTCTGATATTTTGGAACTGTCAAATAAGCTTAAGTACTTCATCCATTTTTATCAGAATAGCAAGCTGATTCTATGGTTCATTTTTATGGACTTAGAAACGTGAAGAAATTATACTGGAACTTTTTTTGCTTAGTAGGGTCATATAGATGTAGTGATATTTTGGTTAATACCAATACTTAGCACTTATATAATGTTTATTTGAAAAGCACTGTATAAATGTTTATTATTTAATCCTCACCCATTATGAAGTAGGTAAGAATTATTATCCCCATTTTTGTAGAAATCAAGGCATATAAATCAAGGGCCAGATTCCATCTCCCATAGTCAGCACTGAGTTGTAGTATTCTTGTTTCTGTAATGTAGTAGCATCCTCCAGATCATAATCTGACAGGAACTTTGTGGTGCTAGACACCTTTCCAAACTGCAACCAGCAGAGGCCCTGTTTCAAGGAATTTAAACTCTGTACCTGACTTTATCAGAAGTCTTAAAGGGAATAGTGAACATAATTAAGAGTGGCAGAATGTGTCTGTAAGTTATTTCCACAGAACATGAAGTTATTGCCCAATCCACTGACCCTGCATGTCAGTGGGAGTTTTGTTTATGACTCAGTGGTGCCAAGCTGTGACAGTGCTAAGAGGAGAACCAAAAGTCTGAGTTCCCAACGGCATGCACAAATTGCTAGAAAAGCCTGATTTCTAACTTCCCCTACTATAAATTTTTCACACCGACCAAGTGTGCTGATGTCAATTCTTTGCATGCTTTATCTGCTATATCTTTCAGTCCCATGTTTGCCCATAAAATAATAAAAGGACATGATTTTGAATTGACATAACATTGACACATTGGGCCTGTTGACTTAAATAGACATGCAGTCCTACGGAAATCCAGATCCCTAAGGCAAACCCGGGTTAGGAGTTCTTTTTTTTTTTTGGTGACAAAAAATAGGCATGTTTTCTACTCTTTTAGACATGCTAGGCAAAATAAATTGTTTCAGTTTTAAACAGATAATGTTAGTTTTTGGAAACATTATTACTTTGGAGAGGACAGGCTTTTTCCTCCTTCAGTTCGATGGAATTTTTCAAAGTATGGAAGAAATAAATTGCTCTCCTTCTTTAGAAACATGTTTATTTTTATAATGTCTATTATCTAATGATCCAGATGGCATCCTTGTAATTGCTAATGGTACTCGACTCCATAAAGTGCACGGAACCAACATCATTGGAAATTTTTTGTGTTCATGGTTAATGAGGATGGTGGCAGTGCCCCACTCAACATCTGTAAGCAGCTTACTGACCCTATTATGCTGTGTTCTTCCCCTAATCTGACAGAATTCCCAGGGTCAACAGGCTTCCAAATGGCCATGGCTAATATGGTAGGGCTTCTCATTCAGCAGCTCAAAAACCCGTACTGCTTTCAGTAAGATGTGGTAGAGCCAGAGAAGGCCTAGTATTGTCTGGAAACAATAAAAAGAAATTCAGTGTGCTACTAAGTATGTGATCTCCTCCCCATAAGAGAAGAACAGAGCCTTTTATTTTATGACTCATGCTTTTTGTAAAATTGCATCTCTATCTAGGTCACATCTTTAAAAGCTGCGGCATGCGTCACATCGATGTAACTCTGTGGCTCATCTTATGTTGGTTATTTTTGTTAGCTGGCCTTTCTAGCCAGGTCAGTGAAAGGCTGCAGGCTTCAGTGTTTGAGGCATTCTTCAAAAGGGGTATGATACCAGATATCCCTCAAATTTTGTTTGTCTGTTAGACAGATATGATGCTAAAAGTTGGTGCCTAGTTTATAAATCAGCCTAGAATTTTGCTGATTTCCAATGAATATTGAAACTTGATGCTGTTCATACACCTTATGTTGAAAATTGATATTTAACAAAAATCAGTTGAAGAATGTAGAAAATATCAGATTTTGAAGCTGAAGGTATTTATTGAAAGGCAATACTTTCATGAATTTAGGCTTATGGTATGTATTAATTACATCAAAGACAGGCAAATATCTCTGTTTCTTTGTATTAATGTATGTGGATGTTTTATTTATTTTTTTTGAAAATTTCTAAATGTGTATTATTTTAATTATGTTGACTGTAAATTTGACAATGCTTTGCATTTATTTTTATATTTTTTAAACCTGTTGCTTTTGCAAAACTATGAGCAGCCAGTATCATTTGCAGTACCATTGCATTTTTTTGTTATGTACACATGGTGTGTCTGAGTTTACA